TATACTGCACTGCCAAATCCTTCACTTCACGACGACACGCAACGATCAACCACGATCAACAACGATCAAACAACACCAATTCGCGTCGGATACAATCAATCGATACGGGCACTGCAATCAATTCACACGTAGTAATGCTTCACCTGCCCTAAAATCGATCTGTTCCACGCCCTATGGCGTTTACTCCACCCAATCGATACAATGGGGCCCTACCAGAAGTGGCCACTGCGGACAGCAACACCCTGTCGCGTCCAATCCGTTCGGTCGCTCCACTGACCGACCAGCAACCAACCACTGGAGCAATCCGGTTATCCACCTCCCACTCTCGTTGTCCTTCTCACGGTCTTACCCTCCTCGACCGTTTAGCACTGTGCCACGGTACCTTGCCTTCCTGACCTAAGCAAGGTTATTCTCCACTACGGTCTACTCCACCGGTTCGGCCCCCATGTAATGCCGAACCCTGGTTACTAGAAGTAGAACCGTTGCAACGGCTGGCACAGTAATACGCGAAATACAAAAATGCTCCTCGCCCTCTTTATATACTAATACTTCCCGCCGAAACTGCGCCTCTTCGGCGGTCGATCACTCCCTGACCTATCACGGGTTCGACCTCCATCATGCCACAAGGCTCAAAAAACGAAAACACAGACAGATTAGAGTTAATTAAGGTTGGAAACCAATCGAAATACCCGAAGCAGTAAGACATTACAGGATAGACGACAGACAGACGCACCTAATTTCTCTTTTGTCATTTATTTATGTATTCCAGGTGCAGTCCAAGTGCAGAAATAGACATGGAAATGAAACAGACTGTAGTGATGAAATAGACGTCACAGGAGATTTTGTGCTCAATGCAGAATCCACTCAGTCGGCTATGCAGTCGTCACCTTCGTGCAGCTTCAAAAAAAGAAAATTCGGCGGGACCAACATGCAGTGTGTTTGTAGTAAATTGGTTTACTTTTGTTTGTGTGTCTTGATTTCCTAACCACTGGAAAATGGATAAGCAAACATAAGATAGTTGGAAGTGTTGCTATAGAGATTTGTGTAAAGCCAATTCATCTGTTTCGCCCACCTCTCCATGGCAATAACTTCCAACATCCCTGGATGCCCAGTTTGATGTGATGTAGTCTCAGATTAGACAAAAATCTGTTTGAGAATAGAAAGTATGAATTCAACGATCTAGTGTTGTTAAGCACCACTCACTGAGGACTACTCCAGTGTCATGGAGATCACAAAACCTTTTTTTACAGTATTTCAGTTAATTTGCTTTCAGTGTTAGCTCTTCTCCCTCTTCGGAGTGTCAAGAACCTGGACCTTCCTCTTCATATGTGACATTCTCTGATGGAGATCGTAATAATGGCAGTAGTAGTGGCATTGACAGCATACCTTGCTGCTATCCAAGCGACGATGCAACTGATGGTGAAATTGATAACATTGAAACGCTTGATTAGACGAATCCAAATGATGAACCAATTTGGTTGTGAATAATTTTTCGATATTCGGTGTTACTCATTCATAGTCAAAAAAACTTAAAACAGAGGCTACTTTATCAGAACCTGTTTTTAGCTGGTATTATTGTATGGAGTGTTATGTAACGTCTTTGGGTGCAGTGAAGCTTCTCTCTTCTTAAGCCCATACTCAGGTGGTTTATTGAGCTTGCAAGTTAATCTCAAGAATCCTGAACGTAGTAACTGCTCATATCTATAAGCGATTTGAAGACCCATATCAGTGTTCTCTTTGACATTGCAAGGCATTTTTTCTACCTACGTTGTTTTGTATATTAATAAGATCTAATGAAGAAATTTATTTCGCTCCTATGTTGAATGATGTAGCATTGGTTGTTTGACCAAAATTGCGTATACAATTTTGCAGTAATTTTTGAAGTTATGAAGACTCATTTCGCCGGAGATGTGCATTTGGTTGCATTTGTTATAAGGTAGTTAAAAGAACCCGAGATGGGTACGAGGGCATATAAATAACCGAATTCGGTTCTCTTTGTGGTACCAACTTTTACCAGCTCTTATCTTCTCGTACCATTTACTACTACTGCCACTTTTCGTCTACCGAAAAGTACCTCATGTTATCGCGTGAAATACTTAGGTCGCAAGGTTACACAATAGATCAGACAGATTAAGAACTTTGTAATCTCGCCTCTTAAGATAGTTAATCGAGCTTTGTTAGCTGTATGATTTTCCACTTATTTGTGATGCAGTTGCGTCTGCCTTCTATGGCTCCTTTCACATAACACATCACACCCATCGAGGGTAAGGTTTCCATTGTTATCGCAAGGAACAACGGACCCAATTGCTCTTGCACTTCAACGCCTATTTGTATCTGTCATCAGCTACTATCAGCTCCTGTTCGCAAGCATCCAAATCAAGTCTTACCCCAAATCACAAATCAAAGGGATAAGGCTTCACTGTTAATATGAAGGGCGTCACGGATCCGCGTATAAAATGATCTCTACTATCTCTATTTCAGATTTATAGGCATGCTCAGTCATAGGATATGGTCTTCTCGATATTCTAGAACATTTTTACTTTGGAGGCGATGCTGTAGTAGTAGAGGTTTGACGATTTTCTTTTTTTTTCGATTCGTACCACAACATTCTTATGTGATGGCGGTAAAAAAAATTTTTGTTCGGCACTGAGAACGTGACATTAGTGCTGGTCGAAAAACAAGGCAGAAGGGAAGAATATCTCCTGGTTAGCTATAAATACTGCTTGAAACGTTGAAAGGATTCTGCACAGTAGTCTAACATCTTCATTCATTTTATGAGATGTCATAACTTCAGCTGGTTCCCAAGTTTAGTTTCAGAGGCAAGTATCGCGTTGATCATGAGGGTATGATTGCGTAATTTACACGCGACGTACATGACTATTTTTTACGGTTGCTAAGAGAACGGGAAGTAGGTTTTTATTGGTGGCATCCTTATATGTAGTCTCTCTTATTGAAGGTTGAACTGTTGAGAATAAGCAAAAAGATTCGCTGCTCTAAAAAAGGGCTTCCCGAGTACAGGAGTTTGGTATGTAAAATGTGACCCTGCGAAATCCCAACTGCAATGACTATTCTTGATATGTTTTATAAAGTTCCGATCCCTTGACCTCTCACCCATCTTGCTGTTAGCGCGTCCTCATGCTTTGGTGAATCGTCTGTGCCTACAGAGAATTGATGTGAACTTTCATGGCAATCATCATCAGTCATCATAGGCGATCCCAGATCACTGATCACTATCTTGGTGCACTCGCTATAGTAGAGTGATAGCACCGCTCTGATACACTAAGCATAATGACTGTCTTTATGCATCCCGGATACGAAGGAAGAACCCTCTTCAATTCTCCCCTGGGCCTGTTGCTTTTGTTCGACCATTTTTTTCCTGTCATCGGGATATATGGGAAACAAAGTTCAGATCTTTTTGAACACCATTCATTTGAGAATAGCCCCGCTCAGCTTATTTGTGCTCCGCACATTAACCAACGATTAACCAATCCACTTCAACTTGGATGGATTTTCGTGTAACCCCCTGTAGTTACGATACCGTATTTCGCTCACACGCACAAAATCGAATACATGCGCTCTTGAAGCGCCTGATTCATACCTGCTAGAATGGTAGAATGAAAAGGATATATTTGTTTAATGATTTGTTGTCATGTTTTTTCCATGCTCATTTCATTTTAGGAGGTATAAATATATTTGGCCAATTTTAGCGTCATTACTACCACTACTTGCCCTCGCTTGTTGAATTCCAGTTTCCACATAGTTTCTTTCTAGGCAATACTACTCCTTCAAAACTAGTACCTCTATCTTCACTAAAACCCGATGAGCTGGGTCATTCAATATTGCTGTGCAAGCAGACCTTGCCGCCAGGATCGCCAAAAACTCCTCATGATATAGTGGCTGGTGGAGTTTTTATAGCAAAAGTAAGTCGTCCACAAACCGCCAGCTCGTCTTTTTGATGAAATATTCAGACTTTCCTCTAGGTTCTTTCTCTGTCTTCTTCAGCGGTGGGTGCAGTTATGGTACCCGTTCTTACATCATATCTATGGGAAGCGGCTACTGAGAGACCATCCATGATGATGTTTACCATTGGTATGTCACTCTTTGGATCTTTTTCTATTATGTGAAGACACACTATTTGAATGTGCTCCCATGAGAGAAAGCTACGCGAAAAATTTTAAGTGGTCATTTTCGAGTGAAGTGAAAGGTTGTGCGGGAGCTTTTACTCTAGTTCAAATTTGGGCCCCAATGTTAGGCGCTAAAGTCGTTCTGCGTATTTGAGTACGTACATGACAACAACGATTTGTGATAAACTGAAAAAAAAACGATGTGAAGCGTAAGCTTGATAATTAACCAAAGACTACGTGATTGGGGTGCTCCTCAAATGGTGACGGTGTGCATACAACGCCGTATATCATTCTTATTGCCGTTAAATACTTTCTCTTCAATACACCTACACACACAATATAAATATGATCGCGCCCACAGCTTTTAAATTTAGGCTGAGTTGTTTCTGTGTTCATGTTCACAGCAACGCTTTCCCAAACTTTTCACACACAAAAAAATCATACTTTCAGTTGCAAACACATTTCTTGTTCTACTGTCGTTCACTCCTCTGTTGCTTCACTTCTTAGCCAAAAGATTTCCCGTGAATCTCTACTACAACCACGACACGAAGGTAACTGTGTATTTTTATCAATCTAATTAATGAATCTTCCACAACTGCTCACTGATTCATTCAACGCCTATATAACTCACCGTCTTAAATGACGAACAGAACTTTTAATAAAACAAACCAGGATTATTGTTGGACGACATGTTATTGCAAGTGATGGCTGTGCCCTAGATGAAATATTTTTCCCGCGCACTACTTGAAGTTAGCCCTGGGGCCCTCGGTGCATGGTGTTTTGCAAAAATGCTGAACTATCTCTGAAGTGGGGCTGGAAGTGGTGTAGTGGCAAGTGACGCACATCACACACGCATGTTCATCCTGGGTCCACATCCTGAAACAACCAAGCATTCCATCCCTCCGGGGTCGGTTCATTGGTACAGACTCATCTGGAAGGATAAAAGCACTGACTTGTACATCGGCTGGCCACCGCAAGTCATTGCCTAGGCCTTTTTCGCATTCATTACGTTTATGAAGGAAGTAAGTCGAGTGCGTGTACGCATCTCTCTGACGGGATTGATTAACGCCCCAACGGTCTATCCTTTTTTCGGCACTATTTACCATTTACTGCCCCACTTTGTCGGGAATAGGCCGGATTTCTATCGAATTTTTTTCAAGAAGATGAAACCGACTAGAAACGCGTTAGAGGGGTAATTTGACCCGTAGAACACGAATATCGCATCCATTTGTCATGAAAATGTCTGGGGGCACTACTCACCAGGGAGGGGTAGTCTACTTATCTTGGAAATTTGAATCGAAACCCAGATGAGTCGATAGAGTTTTGAATGCTGTTTTTGAAAATGGAAATTAAAACTGCAAAATGATTCTCCTTAAAAAGTTTTGGGGGCCCGAATTCTGCTCGACAGTAGTAGTATCAATTGGATATGCGAACTCGTCGCTTCGATATCAAGTGCCTACGTGGCCTTATGGTAGTGGTCTCGCTTCATGGGCGTAAGATTAGGGTTTGCTCCCCGCCATTGTCCGCATTTTTGCAAAGTGTTTTTTCATATCATCAAGGGCTCTCTAACGATTCAAGGATAGTGGTTCTGCACGTTAATAGTATGACTCTTTTTATTTTAAAATTCAAGGAATTCGCAATTCTGATCAATCCTGCTGCATCCCGTTCGGTCTTGAGACGATTGATTGTTTTGTCACCGGATGTAGAGAATCAGCATGTATAAGGTGCACAGTTCGTGAAGAACGTATGTGTTCCACGCATTTTTTAAAGTTTTTCCATCATTGTTGAGTTTCTTGCAGGCATCTTACACTGGTAACTTTCTGTTGAATTTTCCTTGAATTCCAAAATAAAAAAGAGTCATAGTATTAACGTGCAGAACCACTTTCCTTGAATAGGGGCGACAAGACAAAATAAAAGCAGAAATGAGGTGTTCACTGAAAAAATGTCAGAAAACGTTCAGGGAGCCCTTGATGAAATGAAAAAACACTCTGCAAAAATGCGGACAATGGCGGGGAGCAAACCCTAATCTTACGCCCATGAAGCGAGACCACTACCATAAGGCCACGTACGCACTTGATATCGAAGCGACGAGTTCGCATATCCAATTGATACTACTACTGTCGAGCAGAATTCGGGCCCCCATAACTTTTTGAAGAGAACCATTTTGCAGTTTTAATTTCCATTTCGTGAACAGCATTCAAAACACTATCGATTCATATGGGTCTCCATTCAAAGTTCCAAGATAGGTAGACTACCCATCCTCGGTTAGGGGCAAGTTTCTAGCAAGATTTGTGACCCAGCTCCATTTGGCGCCGGCGCCTATGGCGCGAGTGCTAGGCATCTTTATGTCGAGTGGATGCGATATTCGGGTTCTACTTTTCAAATTTCACCTCTAGGCAAGTTTCTAGCCGGTTTCATCTTCTTGAAAAAAATTCGATAGAAATCCAGCCCATTCTCTACAAAGTGGGGCACTAAAGGGTAAATAGTGCCCTTTTTTCTTATCTCTGAAGTGAGATGCTTCGCATGAAGAACTTTATGATACTAATTTAGATGACGTAAGAGTGCGAAAAAGGGGTCTGGTTTTGTAGGTGAAGAGTTTGGGTAGACCACATAGGTCGAAGAGTTGTTAATGGTTGAAGGTAGGGCTCATGGAAAAAACACATCTTTCCTGTTAAGTCATTCTGTAGCTGCCTAGTTAAATCGACGACTGGGATCATGACCGTTCCGAAAACTAACGTTTTCCTAGTTAAACTGGTGTACTCGTGTTTCGTTCCGACTGAACAACTGCACTTCATGGAGAAATGGTCTATAGGAAAGTGATGATGAAAAAACAGAGAGTATAATGTTTTGTAGTGTTTTGCCGTACAGGTTTGTTATGGTAGAAACCGCTTTATTTGGTCGACGTTTCGACTATCTCGTCATCTTCAAGGACCTGAAAGCAGTTCGGAGCTCCTGATCTGTGGCTTACCCGACCAAGCGCCCAAACGCGCTAGCCCAGTTGCAACAGCTCCCAGAAACTTGACGCCAAAAGATCCCAACCGAGAAACCAACCTTCTGCGGTTCCACCAACGCTGCCGTCCCCCTCGATTCGGTGAACAACAAGGGACCAATGAGACACCATTGACGGTCGTTGGATAAGAGTTGCGCGGTGTTTTCAATGCCCACAGGGAGGAATGAGTGGCAGAAATTCGCCTGTTATGGCAATGCACTCATTTCGGTTGTTCAGCTCAGGATTTCTCTCGCGGATATGCAACGCTTCCAAGCACCGATCTCGT